CAGAAGGAACAGAGAGAAGGGGAGTTCTCTCGAAGACACCCCCATTTGTAGGGCCATGCTCTCTAGACTGCCCCAGGAACAGAAAGAAGGGGAGCTCCTCCCCTCCACCCTTCCAATGGTGGGATCCCTTCCAACAAGACGCACTGCCCCCCACAATTCCCTGTCGGTGAGGAGGAAGCAGATCTGCCTCTCTCTGATCTGGAGAATGTGCTCTCCCTGCTGTGAGCTGAGGCAAAACCAGCCACTCCCTTGTCCACCGCCATTCTGAGGCTGAGTCCTGGCATTCAGTCCAGTCCAGTATTATGGGCCAGGGCCTGTCCCCTGGGGGTAGGGCCTCTGGCTGGATGGCTCCCTGCCCCCCTCCACGTTGCCCTTCCTGAACAAGCTGAACCAGATCTGCCTCCCTGGTCATGTAACAGGTATTCTATTGCCCCCGGAACCTGCCCCCTGCTGGCTACTCTCACCTCAGCCACCCAGGTGAGGTTCTTACCTTGGAGAGAGAGATTACTGCTGGTGCTTCTGCTGTTTTCACCCAGCCTGCCCAGAATGTGCAAAGTGCTTTCTCTGCATGTTCAGCCATGGGTGCTGCCTGCACTGGGGCAGGCTCGGCTCTCCTGGTTCCAGGGACTGCTCCCTCCGACCCAGAGCAGCCCTTCTTCTCAGGTTGGGAGAAGGGATATTGGACAAAGACAGAAACATCTGCCACCTGACACAGTCCTGCCTGGTGCTCCCCAAACTCCTGGCCGCTGACTCCATTTAGAGCTAGCTGTGGGCCAAGCATCATGAGGGCAACCAAACCGCATGTGGGAACCTGGGAGGATTCCCTTGCCTGCCGCTGTGACCAGGAGCAGGCCATGAAGTTCCAACCTTGTTTTGACCACACCTAATGACTTTTGAATTTGATTGTTTAAGAAGTAAAAGGAAGCCTGGCTGGTGTTGCTCAGTGGATTGAACATCGTCCCATGGACTGAGAGGTCTCGGTTGGATTCCTGGTCAGGGCACATGCCCTGGTTGCAGGCTCCGCCCCCAGTAGGGGGCGTGCAGGAGGCAGCTGATCAGTTTCTCTCTCTCCCTTCATCTCTCTCTAAAATAAAAAATATTTAAAAAGAAGTAAAAGGAAGCCCTGGCCAGTTTGGCTCAGTGGTTAGAGCATCAGTTGGAGGACCAAAGAGTCGCAGGTTCAATTCCAGTCAAGGGCACTTACCTCGGTTGCGATTTGTCCCCTGCCCTGGTAGGGCTGTGTGGGAGGCAGCCAGTCGCTATGTGGCTCTATCATATCAATGTTTCTCTCTGTCTCTTTCTCTTTCCCTCCCTCCCACTCTATCTGATGATAGGTAGAAAAGTATCCTCAGATGAGGAATAAAAAAACAAACAAAAAAAGAAGTAAAAGGAAGAGGAAGCACTGGCCCGTGTGGCTCAGTTGGTTCAGTGTTGTCCCATGCACTGAAGAAAGGAGGAGTATCTGAGAAGGAAGGTTCACAATAATAATGAAGAAAAGGAAGAGTATCTGCTCTCATTACTTTTATGCACTTCCATCTCGTTTATGGTCATTCAGAACTGATTGTAATTTCTAACATGTATTGTACTTAATTTGTGTGATGCCTTTAAATTATGCCTTCCCCTTAAGAGAGAGACTGGGCTAAGAGCAGAGATTTTGCCCCCTCCTTCTTTGTGTCTACTACTCTTTTCCTTTTGCCTAGAGCTGGTAAAGTTGCAAGTTCCTCCCTGGGTTCCCTTCTGAAGGCCTGTGGCTGAAAGCTCCCCTTTGGGAGGAAAACAGCTCAGCCTTAGCTCTGGCCTTGCCTGATAGTCTTCCCGGTGCCCCTTGCAAGCCCTATCAGCTATTTGCACAGGGACTGTGGGGGAGGGGTGGGAGGGAGGCTGGAAGGGGGAGGGAGAATTGTCTATGGGGCCCTGGCCTTTAGACTGGGAGCTCACTGTCAACACCTCAGGAGAATCAAGTACTCACCCCAGGAGGAAGTCTTGGGCTTTCAGACTTTGTTATGTAAGGGAAACAATTTTAAAAGGTTAGTCATTCAGGCATCTGACTGCGTAAATGACACAGTGGATGACTAACAGAAATTACAGGATGGCTCCACCCTCTGGCTGAAATGACATATTCTTTTGAATATTTTGGATAATTTCACAACACTTAGTGCTTGCTGCGAGCAGCTTTCTGTCCTTGAGGATGGAAATAGGAGTAATTAGAATATCCTTCCCATCTCTTTCATTACCTGCTCAGCTGTCCTCTATAACCAGTCTCCTTCCACTTCTTTTTCTTCTCGAAGTCTTCATGCCTTCAGAAATAAATTTATTTATGCAAGTAGGACAATGGAAGACAAACTGAATAGGAAAAGATAAGTTCAATTATGCAGCATTTAAGGCTTTAATTCCAGTGAAACAAAACTTCCTGTCTTCCTACTGCCCCTCACGGGAAAATATTTGTGTTGCCATTGCGCCATCTACTGGCAGCTGGAATCTCTGCAGCCGAATATATTCTCCTTGTGTTTGGATTGTCCTTGCCCAAGGCTACTCATTTAACTCATTCATTCAGAACACATTCATTGTGTGCTTACTTTGTGCCAGACTCTGCGCTAGATTTTAGGGGTACAAAAAACATGGCCACTGCCCTGTCTAGTGCGGTGGTTCTTACACTTGGTACAAGTCAGAATCATCTTGGGAAATGTTTAAAATGCAGATTTCTAGGCTCTGCCCTGAGAAGATTCTGAGTTGGTGGGTCTGGGATGAGATCTAGGAGCCTGCATTTTAAACAAACATAACAAATGACTCTGAAATAGGGAGTTCATGAATCACATTTTGAGAAAAACTAATGATAAATGGAAGCAGACAGTGGAATCCATTATTGCAATGTAGTCTGGTAAATGCCACACAGTAGGGACAGGGTCTGCTGGAGGCACAGAGAAGGGACACTTAATCAGACTAGGGGAAAATTGGAGAAGACTTATCAGAGGTAAGAATCTAGACAATAAGAGTTGCGGAGATGAAGAAGAGGAGCAGGAGATGCAGACAGAGGGTGTAGCATATGCTATAAAAGAGGGCATTAAACTGCACAGGATTTGCAGGTAGTGTGGAAAGTTAGAGAAAAGCACGACCAACTGGCAGAAAATGAAGGCCTGGAATACTAAGCTATCTTTATCCTAAAGGCTCCAGGGAATGTGGGAACCTTTTAAACAGGAGAATGAGTTGCCTAGATCCGCAATCTTAGGAAAATCCCTCTGACAGCAATGATAAGGAGGCAGGACTAAGGACAGGGGATCCTCTTGGAAATAAGTGGCAGGTAGAACAGAGTAAAGAAGGGACAAATGGTGACAGAAGGCGACTGGACTTTGGGTGGTGAACACACAGTACAATATACAGATGATGTATTATAGAAATATATACCTGAAACCTATATAATTATTAACCAACATCACACCAATAAATTCAATAAAAATTTTAAAAAGAAAAGAAGTGGCAGGGCCATGGCAGAAAATTAAGAGAAGGATGCAGATATGGGAGAAACTAAGGTACCGACAGTAGCACCTAATGAACTGATACACATGGCAGCAGGCAAGTGAAGGGGGCCTCAAGGATGACGCTAAGGGGTCTGGCTTGGGTGACCAGAGGTCATAGTTTCCCAAGACAAGGCACATAGGGAGAGGGACAGGGTCGGGGAGGGACAGGAAAGAGTAGGAGAGACACAAAAGGGAAAGAGGAAATGGACAGTGACCCTTTCTAACGTAACTGTTACTGTTCTCCTCTGCCATTGGTTGTGTGATCTTAATTCTTCCTTAACCCAGCTACGCCTTTGTAACTGGAACCCAAGTTCAGCTGCCTGCAGCTACAAAAACCAAACTCATGAGACAGACGCTGGTGAAAAAAGAAATAGGTTTTATTCAAGTGCTGGTCACCTGAGGAGATGGGGGACTTTTGTCACAAAGCCCCCCTCAACATCTCAATGTAGGCAGAGGCTTTTATAAGGAGAGAGAGGGATACGCAGAACAAAGAAACAAGGGAAGGGTGTTGAAACATTCTCTAGTGCAGCCCAGCACAGTCCATTCCAATAAGGACCTCAGAACCAGTCACGTGATGGTCTGGTGTGCACCATCCTGGTCTTCCTAACCCTGGTACCACGGTCATCCTGACGGTATGGTTGAAGGTCAGCAAATCTCCCAGAACTGGGATTACTAAAGGTCAGAGTCTGTATCCTCTGAAGTTAGAATTTTTTTTTCTTCCTAGGACTCTTTTGTTTGTTTTTTAAATTATTTTTATTAATTTGTTTTTGTTACAGATGTTTCTCCTTTCCCCCCCATTGACACCCTCCTTCCCACCACCACCCTCCCCCCCGCCCCATCCCCAGCTTTGTTGTCTATGTCCATTGGTTATGCATACATGCATTCTTCCTAGGATTCTTATACAAACATGCTGTTGATCTGCAAGCTACATATTAGTCAGAGTCAGCATTTACAGAAACAATGTCAAAAGAATGTTGGATGGGTTATAATTCCCCACTGTTACAGATGATGTTTCATCTGTAAAATATAGATCACAAGAGTATCAACCTTATAGGATTGTTGTGAGGATTAAGTGAATTAATACATGCAAGGTACTTAACAAAAGTACCTAGTACACAATCAAACAATAAATGTTGGCTGTTGTCTAATTCTTTTTAATGTCACTCATAATATTTTTGTCAGATGACTGACTGTCGTACTTTGCATCATTGTCCCAATGCTTCATTCCCTCCATGTTTTAGAATTTTGCATCCATGCCCTTTACTAAATGACTTTTCAGTACCTCCCACTAGTACGGAGTACATTCCCCTTTGTGGTATCCACGATGCGCTGGTCAGTGCAGTGTTAGTGACACTGTGACACAAGCAGAGGCTTTAAATGTGCTCGTACAGTTTGGCTTGCTCTTTTGTGCGGATGTCATTCACCAACCATGCCTTTGTTCATCACCGAGCCTGGAATGATGAAGACCAGGCAGCACCTGGGCTAGACCCCCAGCCTCAATCCAGAGGGGGCCCAGCCAACCCACAGACTTGTGAACAAGAAAACAAATGCTTTTGGTTGTGTGTCACTGAGATGTGAGTGTTTTTATTACAGAGCACTATTGCAACCATTGCTAAGTAATACATTGATATGGAAAAACATTCTCTGGCCAAATTTTTATGCTGATTCAGAGGCTCTTGTGTCTCTACCCTAGGCTTCTTGCAAGCAGAGGCTGCCTAGGCATCTGGATCTCTGACATCATACCAGGCCTTCTAGCCTTTGTCAACAGCAATCATTTTAAAGGGTTCCCAACTTGTAGCCACTGAGGGTTACTTCGGGTGTCTTTATGTCCCTGAGAAGAGAGGCATGGGCTGGAAAAGTGGCAGGTGCCCAACCCATTTCTGCTTATACCCTTCCTTCCCCTTGACCAAACTCAACTCATGGCTCCGACCACGGAATGACCCAACAAAGCTAAATGTAATGATATGTTGGAAACCTGGGAGCAGGTTCCGCTTGACTTCTGAGTGTCCTAAGAGCAGCAGGGTCCCCAGGCCACTCCGTGTGGAACGGCTCCTAGAGTGGGTCTTTGCTCCTGTTGTCAGAGTTCTTGGGGTCTGTCCATTTCTCAGTTCTCCCTGATAACTCTGCTTTATTCTAGAAGGACACTGACTCAGGTGTCAAAGAGCTAGCTCTGCAGCTTAATTGTCTGACACTGAGTCACTTCAACTGGCTGCCTCTCAGTTTTCTGTCTGTAAAATGGAGAGAATAGGACCTGTCTCCAGTCAGGTCCTGTTACCTAGTTGCTGTAAGGATCAAATCAGAAACACTCTCAAAACTGTAAAATGAAATATAAGTGGTAAATCCTATCACTAGGTGCCTCATTACTGAGCAGGAAGAGTACAGAAATGGCGCCTCCTTCTGTTCATTTCATGAACTGCAAAACACTGCTGAAGAGCCGCCTTAACCCAGGGTGAAGAGTGGAGTCTCAGGCATCACAGGGTTTTGTCCACTCTGGGGGTTCCCGGATGAGTTGCTGCGGGCCTCTCCCCTCCTGGTCGCAGCACTGTTCCTCCCCTCACGCTGCTATCTGGGCCCGGGGACTTCACAACAGCTCCGAAGTCTCCCCAGGCCCTGTGACCGGTTCCTACCCCAGAGCAGGCTGTGCATCACTGCCAGCCTTCCTTGGAGAAAACTCGTGGATACTGGGAACAGACTACATCCTAACAGCATTAATCTTTTTCATGTTTTGCTTGTCAATTAGTGCTTGTTGAGAAATATTCTTCATCCACATACATGTTCTGTGCTGGTCTCTGAACTAGTGAACTACAAGCCCGAGGCAAAACTGTAAAGACAGGCAGGGTTAGTTTTGATGATCCTTCCACCCACCTTTCTGTACAGGGGTTTTGTTAAAGGCACCAATAGCCTGGACCCAGGTTGTCCTTGAAGCCTTTCACATTATATCCCAATCCTCATTATACCCCTACGCTAACTGCTATCTGCTGGGACTAGTCTGAGTAATTAATTTTTAAAAAGTTATTGGCTCAGCCTGGCCGGTGTGGCTCACGGGTTGAGCGTCGACTCATGCACCAAGAGGTCACCGGTTCGATTCCCAGTTAGGGCACATGCCCAGGTTGTGAGCCTGATCCCCAGTGGGGGTCATGCAGGAGGCGTCCAATCAATGTTCTCTCTCAAAGATGTTTCTATCTCTCTCTCCCTCTCCCTTTCTCTCTAAAATCAATAAAGAAAAAATTTAAATAAATAAATAAAAAGCGATCAGCTAGGCCCTGGCGTGGTTGGCTCAGCGGTAGAGCATTGGCCCTTACACCAGAGGGTCTCAGGTTCGATTCCCAGTGAAGGGCACTTGCCTGGGTTGCGGGTGTGATCCCCGCCTTGTGCGGGAGGCAATCAACTGAAGTGTCTCTCTCCCATTGATGTTTCTTTCTCTTTTTCTCTCTCTCTCTCCCTCCCTCCCACTCTATCTAAAAATCAAAGGAAAAATATCCTCTGGTGAGGATTAACAACAACAAAAAAGATTATCTGCTCGATGATAGTGTCTTAATTTGCTAATATGTGTCTTTTGATAGCAATCTTTAAAATCTTGAGCCAAGTGAGGGGAGGAGGGTAAAGGAAAAAGAATTTCAATTTCAAATGACAAGGTTTGCCTGAAGAGATCATTTGTTGACAGACCCTTACCTTTACACAACAGCACAGCTCACAGTGCTCAGAGCCTCAGTCTCAGCTCTGAGACCGGCTTGCTCTCCATTTCACTGTCCAGGACGGTGAGGCTCAGAAAGGCTACTCCGAGCACTTGCCCAGCTCTGCAGAGCTAGTGATAAAACCAGGACTAGGGCTCGCGATCTTCTAATACACACTTTATTCTTCGTCATCTCATTCTGCTGCAGGGAATGGTTCATGAGGCAGAAGTTGCAAATAGGGACTGAAAAAAGACATTGAATATATTAGAAAGAATAATCTGCAAATTTAACTTTTCCTTTGCACCATCATCATCATCAACATGAACATTAACATTAGACTTAATTTTTTTGCATAGCACCCATTACTGTCCTCTTCCCCTCCCACCTCCTAGAAAGAACTTGTTGTGTTTGCTGCTATACTCCTAGAACTGTGCCTGACCCTCCGTAAATACTAACTGAAACAAATATGAATCAATCAACGCTGAATGAAAAGTTGATGTTATCAATTATACCTCAATAAAGCTGAAAAGCTGAGAAAAATCCACTGTCCTTATTTTTTTTAAGGTGATGTTACAGTAAATGTAATTTCTTTTATTTTATTAGAAAAGATGAATTTGGGGATAAAAATTATATATGCTCATTAAAATTTTTCAAATGAAACAAAGTATTTAAAAAAAATCAAATCAAGCCCTGGGTAGTTTTGCTCAGCGGTTAGGGACCAAAGGGTCACAGGTTCATTTCCCTGTCAAGGGCATATACCTGGGTTGCCGGTTCAATCCCCAGGGTCATGCAGGAGGCAACCGATCGATGTTTCTCTCACATCAATGTTTCTCTCTCTCTCTCTCTCTCTCTCAAAACAATGGAAAAAATATCTTCAGGTGAGAATCAACAAAAAAATAAACAAAGATTTTTTTTTTCTTATCCTCACCCGAGGACATTTTTCCATTTTTTGTACAGACAGAGTGGGAGGGAGAGAGAGGCAGAGAGAGAGAAGGAAACATCGATGTGAAAGGGACACATCGAGTGGCTGCCACCCGCACGACCAACCAGGGTCGGGGACAAACTGCAACCGAGGTACATGCCCTTAGTGGGAACTGAACCCGGGTCTCTCCGGACCGCAAGCGGACGCTCTAACCGCTGAGCCAAACTGGCCAGGGCAACAAAGATTTTTTTTAATCAGGAAGGCAACCATTTTTGTTTTTAACCTTGACTCCACTCATTTCTCCCACCCTCCACCCCCTATCTTTGGCAACCAGCATCAATCTGTTCTCTGTATCTATGAGCTTGTTATGTTTATTTTTTAGTTTTTGATGCCCCATATGAGAGATCATATAGTATCTGTCTCTTGGTCTGATTTATTTCACTTAAAATAATGCCCTTGAATCCAAACATGTTAACACAAATGCTAACATTTTATTCATTTTTATGGCTAAATTTTATATAATATATATAAAATATAATATATAAAATATAACAGATATCTTATATAAAATACATTTATATATTTATATGATATAATGTAATATATAAAATATGTCATATATTTTATATAAAATACATAATCTGAAGTGGAATTGCTAGATTATCTGATAGTTCCATTTTTAATATTTAGAGGAATCTCCATACTGTTTTCTTTTTGTTGTTGTTTTTTGAATCCTCACCCGAGGAAAATTTTCCATTGATTTTCAGATACAGTGGGAAGGAGGGAGAGAGAGAGAGAAACATTGATGTGAAAGAGACACATGGACTGGCCGCCTCCCATATGACCCCGACCAGGGCAAGGGATCGAACTGCAACTGAGGTACATGCCCTTGACCAGAATGAAGCCACAACTCTTTGGACCATGGCCTACATCAACTGGCCAGGGCCATGTTCTTTCCATAGTGTTTGCACAAATGTACATTACTACAAAGGGTTCCCTTTTCTCCACACTCTCACCAACACTTTCTATTACTTGTCTTTTTGATAATAGTCAGTCTAACAGGTATGGGGCAATAGCTCATTGTGGTGTTGATTTTCTTTTCCCTGATGAATAATGATATTGAACACCTTTTCATGTGCCTGTTGACCACCTGTATGCTTTCTTTGGAAAAATTTCTATTCAGATCACCTGCCCTGTTTTGTTTTGTTTTTTTAATCTTTATTGTTGGATGTAAAATGTATTACAGATGTTCCACATTTTTCCCCCATTGACCCCCTTCTCCCCACTCCCGCCCCCCTCCCGCCTTTTCCCACACTACTGTCTGTGTCCATTGGTTATGCATATAAGTTCTTTGGTTTATTTCTTCCCACCACCACCCCCCAACCCCTTTCCCTTTGAGGTTTGTCAGTCTAGCAATGAATTTGTACTTCTTAATCCCTTCACCTTTTTCACCCATTCCCCCAACCCCCTCCCAACTGGCAACCAACAAAATGTTCTCTGTATCTATGAGAATGTTTCTGTTCTACCTGTTCATTTTGTTTGTAGATTCCATTGTTGATAGGTATGTATTCATTGCCATTTTGTTTGTTCATATATTTTATCTTTTTCTTCATTATTTCATATAATAATGGTTTGGTGGTGATGAACTCCTTTAACTTTTTCTTGTCTGGGAAAGTTTTTATATGTCCATCGATTCTAAATGACAGCTTTGCAGGATAGAGTAATTTTGGTTGTAGGTTCTTGCTTTTCATCACTCTGAATATTTCTTGCCACTCCCTTCTGGCCTGCAAAGTTTCTTTTGAGAAATCAGCTGACAGCCTAATGGGAACTCCCTTGTAGGTAACTAGCTGCCTTTCTCTTGCTGCTTTTAAGATTTTCCCTTTGTCTTGAACCTTTTGGATTTTGATGATGATGTGTCTTGGTGTGGGCCTCTTGGGGTTCATCTTGTTTGGGACTCTCTGTGCTTCCTGGACTTGTATGTCTGTTTCCTTCACCAAGTTAGGAAAGTTTTCTGCCATTATTGTTTCAAACAGGGTTTCAATTTCTTGTTCTCTCTCTTCTCCTTCTGGCACCCCCAAGATGCGAATGTTGGCACGCTTGAAGTTGTCCCAGAGGCTCCTTACACTATCCTCATTGTTTTGGATTCTTTTTTCTTTTTGCTGTTCTGATTGGGCATTTTTTGCTTCCTTATATTCCAAATCAATGGTTTGCTCCTTGGATTTACGTACTCTACTATTGAATCTGTGTAAATTATTCTTTATTTCAGTTAATGCCTCCTTCAATTCTAACTGTGTATCCATGATTTCTAACTGGTCCTTTTTTATGCTCTTGAGGCCCTCCCTAAGTTCACTGAGGTTCTCACTAAGTTCATTGAGCATCCTTATAAGCAGTATTTTGAACTCAGTATCTGTTAGGTTGCTTAATTCCATTTCGCTTAGTTCTTTTATTGGGGTTTTGTTCTGTTCTTTCATTTGGGACCTGTTTCTTTGTCTCCTCATTTTGGCTGCCTCCCTGTGTTTGTTTCAGTGTATTACTTAATGAGAGGTATGGGGCTCAATGAGACCAGATGCTGCTCGTTTAAAAGAATTTAGGAAAAACCTGAAGCAGGATCCAAGACAGGCCAATCCTGTGGTTAAGCAAGTGGCAACAGCTTGGGTGAGTTTGAAAGTTGGGTGGGGCGGGGCGGGGCGGGGCCTCAGGGAGTCAGCAGGGCGGGGCTCCCAGTGTGAGCCAGGTTGCTGGAGTCCCAGATATGGCAGCTGTCTGCCGCCCCCGGGAAGGGCTCACCAAAGGAACAAAGGCCTCTTACAGCACGTTTGTCCCGGAGAAAGCTCCCTCTCCAGCCCTCGCTCCAGTGCCAAACAGCTCAGTTCTTCCCTGTATGTCTCTGGTGCCCCTCGAGCTGCCTCCCCTCCAAGCTTAGAGGGAGAGAGTCCGATAAGTCCGTGCGCAGGCCCTTTAAGGAGCTGCTTGGGGCTCCAGCCGGGTCAGCTTCCCTGAGCCTCAGTTCCCGCTGGTTTTCCAGCCAGAAGTTATGGGGATTCTCTTCCTGGCACTGGAACCCTGAGTGGAGCACCTGGTGTGGGATGGGGACCCCTCAGTCCTCAGGAAGGACCTTCCCAGCCGAGGTATCCTCCTGATTTTCATCCGCCACACGTGAGTGTAGGACCAACCCGTCCGCCGCCGCCCCTCCTACCAGTCTGGATGTGGGTTCTGCTTTAATTCCGTAGTTGTAGGACTGCCATTCAGCTTGATTTCAGGTGGTTTTGAATGATGGTTGTTCTATAGTTTAGTTGTAACTTTGATGTGGTTGTGGGAGGATGCGATACCGCGTTTACCTATGCCACCATCTTGACCCCACCTGCCCATTTTTTAACTTGGATTCTTTGTTTTTTTTACATTGAGTTGTAAGAATTCTTTTTTTTTTTTTTTTAGAGAGGTAAATCTAGTTTTGTTTTTAAATGGGTTTCAATCTGTTACATTTATAGATTCAAAATAGACAAAAACAAAAAACGATATAGAAACCTTTGGATTCTCTTAAACCATGTGTTTAAAAACCCTGCATACTCCTAAAAAGGAAGTAAGCCCCAAAGATCGAGGAGCTAAGTACCAGTCTTAATACAGACTCTTACAGGATGCTTTGTATAGAAATGTCTAGTTATGGGAGTATTGTAATTGAAGTTATTCTCTGAAGTCTTGGAAATAGAATATAAATGTTAGACATAGATTTTGCATATGAAACTTGTCTTTCTCTGTTTGGCTTGTTTCACTTAGGATGATACTTTCCAGGTCCCTCCATGTAGTCTCAAAGGATAAGAGGTCTTTCTTTCTTACAGCTGCGTAGTACTCCATTGTGTATATGTACCACTGCTTTTTTATCCATTTGCCTACTGATGGACACTTGGGCTGTTTCCAGATCTTAGCTATTGTAAATAGTGCTGCTACAAACATGGGGGTACATATATTCTTTCTGATTGGTGTTTCGGGCTTCTTAGGGTATATTCCTAGAAGTGGGATCACTGGGTCAAATGGAAGTTCAATTTTTAATTCTTTGAAGTAACACCATATTGTTTTCCATAGTGGCTCCACCAGTCTGCATTCCCACCAGCAGTGGACTAGAGTCCTCTTTTCTCCACACCCTCGCCAACACTTGTTGTTTGATGATTTGTTGATGGCGGCCATTCTGACATGTGTGAGGTGATACCTCATTGTTGTTTTAATTTGCATCTCTCTGATGATTAGTAATGATGAGCATTTCTTCATATGTTTCTTAGCCATTTGTATGTCCTGTTTAGAGAGCTGTCTATTTAGTTCCTCTGC